TTTTTTTTTTTTTTTTTTTTTTTTTTTTTTTTTTTTTTTTTTTTTTTTTTACTTTCAGTGGGACAAACTTTTCAAAATCTCATCTGTCAGAGACTCACCAAAATTTTAACAGCATAGTGTTTTTAAAATGTTTTTGTTCCTTTTCTGCAACACTTTCTATAACCCAGCAACACCTGTTCCAAATGGGAAATTGGAAAATTTAAACCTTTAAAAAGGTAATTTTATATGGTTTATAGAGACCTGGACTAGACTATAAAAACACTGTAAAGCTGGACCAGATTTTTTTCTTTTCAAGGGCTGGACTATCACAAGTTAGCTTGGAATTGCTCGAGCTACAGTAATGTCTTTCTGTAGTCCGTAAAATGCAACAATCACCAGCAACAATCACAAACATACAGCAAAAAGCAGCAGACTGAAGATGCTGAAGCTTCCTTCCAGCATGTGATGTCAGAGATCCCTGAAAGACTCAAGGCTTTTCAGCTGTCTGTATGAATAAACAGACTTTAAAAGCAGAGCTTCCTGGTAGGATAGTATGGTGCACATGCAACAATTAAACATTCAATTTAACACAGAAGCCATTCTGGTTTAGAAGGAAACACATATCTTCATTTATCACAGCTGAGGGCTTGAGCTACTGGCATGAAACTTTTCACAAATTTCTTGTGTCAGAAGCTGAGTTCCACAGATCTGAGTTATCCAGAGGTGCAATGAAAGAGCTAGAACACTGGTTCTCAGCATCAAACCTATTACCGACTTACTGAAAGTCATCATGAAAACTCACTTAAGCCTTCCACAGCCTGTACTAAAGCACTTAGTAGAGAGGGGCCTTGGGTACCAGGAACACCCCTTCTACCAGAAAGGGCATCTCTGAAGAACAGAGAGTTGTTTTCAGGGCCGACAAAGAGGTTAAATCTAAGGCTGCGGAAGAACTTTCCTCAGGTGCCTCCTCACAGACAGAGAAACAGCTCAACATTGATTAATGATAAGGGCCTGAGGAAACATGTAGAGCACCCCAATACAGTCCATGAAGTTCTTGCCTGCCCAAATTAAGCCAAGAACCATGTTATTACAAAAAAAAAAAAAAAAAAGAAAAAAAAATCAAAGCCTTTTTAGCATTTGTAATTTGGATTACAGTAGGGAGCCCACACAGCATGTTAGGTGCTTTCCAGTCACTGAAGATGCCACACCTGCCTTGCCAAAAAAGTTTATGGTTTACGTAGTTGCACAAGATGGTGCTTGTTTTGTTCAGGGAGACTCTAACTGTGTAAGTCTGCATTAATTTCAAGATGGATCCAGGATCACGCCTGTCTGCTCAGGGCTCTTCTCATGCAAGCAAACAGCCCTGCCAGAAAGGCCAGCAATCTCAAGGAGATCTGAAGGGCTTCAAAAACTCCCCCTTACAGTAGGACACCTGCTTCACTGTAGCTTGCAGCCCATGCCTTTGCTCAGCAGCTCTGCCACCTTTCAGATAGCAAAATGGTAGTTCTTTGTCCCATTTCTAGCTGGTAAACATTGATGCTACAGAAGTGATGATCAATACAGACCATCCAGAGACATTTAATGTACTGGCTATTTTGAGTGTACATCCCCTCCTGCTCAGGACAGAAAGGCTTCCTTCTAGCATTTTGCCTGTTTGAGAGCATGATAGGATCATTGATTCATCCTATGTTTTTCTTTACATAGCTGAGGTTGCCTACAAGGGATGAATGTCAAAATGTATCTGCCATGGGGAGATCATTTGGATCTATGATTTCAACAGCTAGGACTACAATCTCTACATTACTTCTTCCCAGTTCTTTAT